ACTATTACTAAGAAAAGCTTCAATGGCTTCCGAGCTCAGGTGATCTACATCCAAATACCAAACTGAGATGAAGAGAGTCCAGGCTGGGATGTTTGAGCTCGTCATTCCTCTGGGTCAATAGATTTGGGAAGGATGGAATGCTAGAGGGTAGATGGGTTGACATCTGTAGAAGGCTTGGAAACCAGTACTGTTTGGGCCACTTGGGAGCAATAAGGATGATTAGGGCTCTGTCTCACCAGATCTTCCACAGAACTTGAATTATTAACAGGATGGGAGAAAAGGCATCTCTCACATGGCGATTCCAGGACAGCAAAAGAACATTGGGCTTGGAAACCTGTTCCTGAGCTCCTCTGGAACAGAATGTATCACATTTCCTGTTCATCTGGGATGCGAACAGTTCCCAAGTAGGGGTTGCCCACTGAGCAAAGACAGCGTCCACCACTGTGTCATGTAGTTTCCATTTGTGATTGGTGGCAAAATATATGCTGTCTGCTAGCAAATTGTGGGCACCCGGTAGGTACACTGCTGACAGGGTGATGTGGTTCTGGATATACCTTCACTGCTCTCTGCTTGTTTACATAAAAGACAGTTGTTATTATCTGATATTATCAGGACATGTCAGGATTGCATGAGTGGTAAAAATGCTTTGCAGGCTTCTTGGACTTTTCTTAGTACCAGAAGATTTATATTCATTCTGTTTCCATGAATTATGCAAATGCATTTGGGTGCGTGAACATCCATGCAGCTCCCCCCAACCCTATCAGGGAGGCATCTGAAACTACTGTTTTGTCTGGTGCGTGCGGAGAACTCCAACCCTCACGTTCTTCCGCCACATTAGCGAGGCTTTCACCTTGGGTGGAAAGACACCCAAGTCCCAGTCACCACTGTGTTCATGCTGTGTCTGCTTGGAATATATACTGTTCAGAGCCAAGCTTTCAGGCAATGGAGGTGGCAAAAGGCATCATCGAAGGATACGATGCCAGGTGCCCCAGCAGCATGAGGCACATACTGTCCATAATCTATTTTATCAGATTGCTCATGGGGTGGAATCTGACCACAGGGAAGTAAGCCCTTGCCCTGACCAAGTCCAGAGTTGATCTTATGAATTCTATAGTTCAAGTTAGTCAGCTTCGATTCCCAAGGATGCTGGGAGATGAAGTGGCGATGAAGTCAAAGCCAGGACTTCCGGACACAACATACCATCAGAAGCCAGTCCTTTACAGACAGGAAGATGGTGGTGCTGTTACATCTGACCTGTGCTACTACTATTGAAAACACTTTTGTAAAGACCCTGGATGCTGTTGCTATATTGAATGGAAGCATCCTACACGGGTAGTGCTCACCTGCTACCATAAATCTGAGGAATCATCTGCGGGAAGGGTGAATGTCCACAAGAAAGTATGCATCTTTCATGTCGAGAGATGTGACCCATGTGTCTTTGTCCAGAGATGGAATTCTAGATGCCAGTATGACTGTGGAATTTCAGCTTGTGAAGAAACACACTGAGTTGTCACAGGTTGAGAATGGGTCTCCACCTCTCTCTTTTCTTGGGAATCAGGAACTATTGTGCTTTTGAGGGAGTTTCTCTTTGAAGTCCAGGAACTTTGAATAGTTCATAAAAATCATAGTTGGCCAGCAGCTCCTGGTAGTTTGATATTCTAAATTGGAGGCTCGTTGATGTAACTACCTCCCTTCTTAGGAGTTCCAAATGCTTAGCCTCTTTATTTGCAGGGGTAGTTCTTGCCTGTTGCTGCCTGTATCCTTCAATGACCACCTGAATAATCAGAGAGTTGAGGGTAGGGTGGGTAACCAGAAACTCTGCTCCCTTATTTGGCTGAAATTATCATTTTTTCTGCCTCCTTGGAAATAGGGGCACAAGTTGGTGGCATGTGCCATATAGCCCTGGCTGGTTCCAGTATGGCTTCATTCACCAGAAGTGCTATTCAACTGGATCCTGTCCGCTATACAATGTGTAGGAGCTTATGTCACGTATCCTGAACCTCTTCCAGGGAGATCTGGAGCTCATCTGCCACTCTTCATAACAGATCCTGGAATTGACTATGGTCATCTGGAGGAAAAGTGAAGCCGGAGAGACCATCTCCTCCGGAGATGAGGAAGATAATCCCGATGGTACTGTTAGTACTGGAAGTTCTGACTTATCACTGTACACTATCGCTGTAGTGGAGGCCAATGAACAGGGGAGTCCCGTTGGCCTGGGTCTGACCGGGGTCTCATTGCATGCTCCATAAGTTATTTTCGAAGCTGGAGTTCTTGTGCCCATCGAGTTTGGCTGGGAAAGGAGCAGAAACTTACTGCTCTTAGCAGAACTATGAGCCTCTCTGAGGCAATAAAGACCGCTTTGATTGTCACCCTTCACTGAAGAGGGGACAAGAGACGCAGTTGTTAAATTCCAGTAACCTGAGCTTAATCTAAATCCTGTACAGGGGGGAAAGGGAAATTACTGGGGGGATGGGGAGGGAATTCTAACTAACAGTGAACTATAGTGAATAAACTATACTAACGGTATCTACAGTAAAAATGTTAATAAATATTGGAAATATGTACAGGTTAAAGATAAAAGATCGGCTCTGGACACTGGCGATTCCGGCCTAGGCCATGCAGTGGTGTGACCCTGTCACCAGGCCAGAGTTTCTCCCCAGCTCTAAAACATGCGATGCCACACCCAGTCTCAGTCAAGGAGGCTTATTTCTTTTACACAGGTTATCAAACAAACAGAAAACAGTCTCAACTCAGTCCTTGACCCCAGGCTTCAGGGCCACCCCTCCCAGGGATCTCTGGCACTCCAGCTCCTGGCAGATTCCCAGCCTCAGTCACTCTGCCCCCTTCCTGAAGCAGCAGCCCCAGGGCTGCTTCCCTGGACGCCTAACCTCTTGCTCCAGGGACGCACCACAGAAGCTAGCTCCACTCCAGTGTGGCTTTCCCTCCCTAGGGTGCAGCCTGTCTCAGACCTTCCTCCTCCAGCTGCCTACTAGCAGCCCCTTTATAGGCCCAGTTGTAACCCAGCCCTCTTTAATTGGCTGGATTGGACTCACCTGCTTTGGGGAGGGACTAGACTTAGTCTGTCCACAGGGCAGCTGGACTTAGTGTATCCACAGGGACCAGCTACCCTGTGAGAGACCCTAAGAACCTTCCAGTACCAACTGGCAGAGGACTGACTGTTCTGTAACTCCTATCAGGCCTAACACACATACTACACCTAACACACCACTCTCATAGTATTTATCTAATAAGAGTGTGCTGTGAATTATCAAATGAAAGTTGGTGACACAGTGGTCCTTAGTATCATTGTGTGATGTGTGTACGGATGGTGTTTTAAGAGTCATGTATGTATGCTGGAACTACATGTTTAAAATAGGTTTGTCTCAGACAAAGGAAGATTGATTTTCCTATTTCTCTCATGTAAATTGAGCATGGTAATGCCAGAGACAATGAGCAGTTCATTTGCATCTGTGGTAAACATCAGTTATCAGGAAGCAGAGGAAACAACATGGCATTAGCACACTGGAAGACACATCATAGTGTGAACCCCAGGTGGCCATCCTGACTCAGGACAAAGATAATGAACTTTGGGGAACAGAAGGAGAAGCAAAAAGACATCATCTTATCCATCACTGAGGGCACAAAGAGGTCAGGCTCTTTGCATCTGTGAATGTTGGATCCCCATCCATGTGGGTTGGTGATGCTGAGAAGTAGCTATAGGTGAGAAAATTGCTTTAGACAAAGCTTTGAGCCTGCTAAGGTTATATGTAGTCTCTTAGAAGTGTGTTATACTTTTGTATTATTTGTAACCATTTTCTGTTTCTATTATCTCTGATTAGTTATCACTTAAATCTCTGTTCTTTATTAATAAACCTATTCTTGTTTTATTATAAATTAATTTCAGTGCTGTTACAGTAAAGTGTGGTGTGCATCCTCAGCTGCGTCAACAAGCTGGGGTGTATTCTCTCTCTTTGGAGATGGCAGACTTGTATTTCTGCGGGCATTTAGTGACAGGGTCTGACAGCTGCAAGGAGATGCTTCTGGACAGTTTTGGAGTTGAAGAACACCAAGGGATTACCTGAAAGGCAAAGTTAGGACTGGCAGAGTCCTAAGGAGTTTGTTTGGCAGGCTAACAGACTGGGATTGCAGAGAGTTGTTGCACAGCGTAGCACCAACACATTCTTATTTTGCTAAGGCAGAAGGGTGATAGGGTGACTTACAGTTCTGGACGCCCCAAGAAAGCATCACGGGTATCAGGAAGGAAATGGAGAGTTGATTGGTCCATACCACCCCCATACCACCAGTACGGAGCTTAAGGAGAGTAAGGGTGCAAGCACAGACCAACGGACACTGCATACAAGGTACTTCCAGTTTCAGACACATGGAGCACATGCATACCCCACAGTGGAATACACATAGGGACCAGCACTTGAAGAATTACATATCATCTAAGCTTGCACAAGTTACTGTAGGCAAATCATCGAGCTCCCAAGGACTCTAGGGGTATGTCTACATTGCAAAAAGCCCACCCATGGCAGTAAGTCTCAGAGCTGGGGCCTAAAGACCCAGGCTTATGTTACAGTGCTAAAAATAGCAGTGCAGACATTCCAACTTGGGCTGCAGCTCAGGCTCTGAAACTTGGTAAAGCGGGTAAGTCTCAGCGCTGGAGCTTCAGCCCAAGTGGGAAGATCTACACTGATATTTTTAGCACCGTAGCACAAGCCCCCGAGCCTAAATCTGTAGATTTGCTGGTGCAGGGGTTTTTTTTTTTTTTTTTTTTTCCCTTCAGTGTGGAGTTACCCAATGCCATGAATTCACCAGGCGTTATTGTTTGGCCTTACAGTTACCAGCTTTCACTGTTATTAAAGAGAGAGAGAGAATATAGAGAGAGGGAAAAAACCCTGGTGGTAAATTAATTTCCAGATTTTGTGTGATGTGAATCCACAGTGATATAGTACATTCCAGAGTTTATTTCAGAGGTACGATCAAAGAAATCTTACTATTGTAGGCTGACCCCAAATTGCTGCGTAGGAAGAGGAGGTCTTGGTGGAGGAACCTTAGCTGAAGGTGGTGGTCTCCCCTTCTGTTTATCCCGAAGATTTTCATCATGTCTGAAAACAACAAAAATCATTGACTTTGTACATCCCAAGAGTGAAACCACAATACACACTGATTGCCTGATCACTCCTATTTCTCACAATGCTGATCTTCTGTAAGACCCACAAATACCTCCAGTGATTTTTAATTTTAGTATTTGTGAGACCCTTTGAAAGCATCTGTGGGAGAATCATTAAGTAACACATGAAAGAGCTGTTTTGCTTCAATCAATAAAATATAGTAACAAACACATCCAAGAGATAGGACCCCTCTTCTAATTTAAAAGAAAAATTCAACCACAGTTGCGGCTCAGAAGCACAACCCTCTCGTGCAATCCTTTTTACAAACGTAGAGCTGTACTATGCTTTTTGTTATTACATCTTTATACAAAGGCGTCCAAAAACCCCACACAGCAGTAACACTCAGAATAAAAAACTTCCAGTTATTTTCATTCAGCAGTGACCTAAAATAACCTTCTGTCAGTACACAAGAGTAACAGGTAAGATTTTTTTTCTTCTCAATAAACAGCATTATGCATGTATACAATAAGTGAATTGTATGCGCTACTCATAAGCGGTAATGATATATGGCAAGGTTTTGTTAATGAAGACACAGCGAGTACAATTATATTAAGAAAATATTTTGCATCTGAGGCTAAGAGGATATTCTGAACCTGTAGAGAACTATACAGTGTTCTCTTTTGTAAACATTCGACATCTTTACAGGATGTCTTTGCTGACAATGCAGTTTTCAGAGCCAAATCTAGCCAAGGACAAATAGCAAATTAGGCTTTTAATTGTTATAGAAATTAGATTAGATCTTATTTCAAAAACAAAGAATCATATAATATCAGGGTTGGAAGGGACCTCAGGAGGTCATCTAGTCCAACCCCCTACTCAAAGCAGGACCAATCCCCAATTTTTGCCCCAGATCCCTAAATGGCCCCCTCAAGGATTGAACTCACAACCCTGGGTTTAGCAGGCCAATGCTCAAACCACTGAACTATCTCCCCCCCGCAACAGAGTTGTGGGGGAGGCATAGCTGTGTGAATATTACACAACTCTCCATTTCAGAATACGTATCACAGGAGATGTTATTAATTTGCTACATACCGAATAACATCTTCAGGAACATTAAGCTGGTCATATTTGAGATGCTCTCTCAGGTCACTTAAATAGTTCAAATAGGTGATCTTTTTCCCAAACTTATGACTAAACAAAATAGTGGAAAAAATGATACAATCAGCATGGGAGGAACATCAATGAAAGGTTTGTTTTCTATTACAGAATGTAAGTGCAAATGAAACTCAAAATTAAACTATAACTGAAACAGCTGGAGACACAAGATGTATTTCATTTTCACATGATCAGACATACACACTGCATCTCTGAGAGTCTGATTTGAATAAAAAAATAACTGACTTCCATCTGAATGTTTTGCGATTTGCATAGATATGAAAAACATTAGTTTGAGAACTGCTGAATAACAGCTTTCGTAAGGCACTAGAAAACTTTTTGAAAAGGAATGTTATAGAACACTTTTTATGTAAACTTCTGGAAAGAATGATACATTGCTGATAGAAAAACATGTATGTGTCACTTTAATCTTGCTCTCTATTAAAAGGACAGTAGATATTATCTAATAGATGGAAGGCCTAAATTTTCCAAGAATGACTACTGATTTTGGGTGTCTCAACTTTTGGATGCTCAGCTGTAGACACCTTAAAAAGGCTTGATTTTCAAAGATGTGTTGTGAAAAATCAGGCCCCTTTAAGGAGTCATAAAATGGAGCTCCCAAAATTGTGACATGAAATATTGCTAGTCAAAGTTGAAAATTTAGTCTGTAAAGGCCCATTTACTGACTCAGGTGTTCGAAGTATGATTTAAAATACATACAACACACTCTGAAATAAGCCTCTTTTTCTGTAAAACAAAATTTGTCTTGTAATAAAAATTAAAGCAAACCAACAGAAATGTGGTATAAGACACACTCCTCTCTTTTCTATAAGAGAGAGTACTTGGAGACCAATACTCTTGCAGTAGTAACTGGCTCATTGCCGAGTCATTGAACATATATACAAAAGCTCCCTCTGCTGGAAGAAAGTATGAATTAAAAAAGTTAATACTGTAATTTAGAAGGTATTAATTAAAAGGAAGTGCTAGATTTTGCTAGCAGGGAAGTAGTTTTGCAACATTAACAGATTTCAGCCTGAATGTGTACCATCTCATTTGGGCTTTTCAGCATGCTTTTTCCAATATGGTCTGTGATTTCAACATTTTATGCAAGGCAATTAGCTAACTGTAATATAGACTGCATTAAATGAAAAAGCAATGTCTTTAAGAACTCACTCTAGTAATACAGTTTTACAAAATGGGCAATTTGCTGTTCATTCACAGGCAGTCAGGAATTTTTGTTCTGTAAAACTGCTGCATCATCATTTCTGAATGAGATCATATTGTGCTATTTTTACAGTTTCATGGCTTTTACAAGTTCATTCATGGAGAACAGCACCCTTTTCCCATTGTTATGGGTTTTTTGGGGGGGTATGCTTAGAATTATTAAATGCCCTCTTTTCCAGTCTCCCTTGGACTTTAGAAGAGATCACTCAGATTCTACTGTGGCTCAGAAAATTTCAAATAAATATTTATTTTTTCCTTAAATATATTCAAACAACTGTTCTACATTTTTTCTTATTACTTTTGTTCTTTGACCTAATAAGTCACCCACTTGCTTATAACAAATGCTCTGTTCATCTATGCTACACTCCTAAAACAAGTCTCAAGTGTAAACAGATATACCTGAGTTATGACATTTAAATTTCTTTCAGTATTTTTGTGAGAAAAATTAGCAGTGACATTTTCTTGAGTTATGGCCTTATTTTAACAACTGAGCAGAAGTTATGAAATACAAACTCTGGTATTTCCCCCCTTTTTCCTTTAGTGAACTTTGGCTTGATATTGATTTTTAAAAAGTATAAACTGCCAGCATAAGATCACTCTGAAATAACCTGAAAGCAGAGGCACATTGAAGGGTACAGAAAATTCCTAACGCATATGATCCTGGTAAATTAATGTTATGTATACGTAGGTTTCAATTTTTAATGAGAATAAACCAACTAGCAAAGCAGCATTAATAAAGAGAAAGAGCTCTACAGCCTGAGACTCAGTGCTTTACAATTTAGCAAATGACACAGACTTGCAGATGCACCTATTTTACATATCCTTCCCTGCATTTTATGTTACTTTAAAACCAGTGGAATCCTCCTTAAACAGAAGTGTGGGACAGTATTTGACACTTAAATAATCTGCAGCAGATAATATTCTTTCTAGTTTTTGGATTTTATGTAGACCAAATCTTCATCTGCAGAATGTATAGACACTTTCAACTTTTTGTAACCTCATTCTTTGTTTCACGGTTGTTGTTTTTTTAAATGTTGTTCACAAATTTTATTGAAAAAGAATATTACACAATTATAACAGCAAAATTTCAAATACTGAATTAGATCCTGTCATAAATATAAAGGGAAGGGTAAACCCCTTTGAAATCCCTCCTGGCCAGGGGAAAGCTCCTCTCACCTGTAAAGGGTTAAGAAGCTAAAGGTAACCTCGCTGGCACCTGACCAAAAATGACCAATGAGGAGACAAGATACTTTCAAAAGCTGGGAGGAAGGAGAGAAACAAAGGGTCTGTGGGTCTGTCTATATGCTGGTTTCTGTCGGGGATAGACCAGGAATGGAGTCTTAGAACTTTTAGTAAGTAATCTAGCTAGGTATGTGTTAGATTATGATTTCTTTAAATGGCTGAGAAAAGAATTGTGCTGAATAGAATAACTATTTCTGTCTGTGTATCTTTTTTGTAACTTAAGGTTTTGCCTAGAGGGGTTCTCTATGTTTTGAATCTAATTACCCTGTAAGGTATTTACCATCCTGATTTTACAGGGGGGATTTATTTATTTCTATTTACTTCTATTTCTATTAAAAGTCTTTTTGTAAGAAAACTGAATGCTTTTTCATTGTTCTGAGATCCAAGGGTCTGGGTCTGTAGTCACCTAGGCAAATTGGTGAGGCTTTTTACCAAACCTTGTCCAGAAAGTGGGGTGTAAGGTTTTGGGAAGTATTTTGGGGGGAAAGACGTGTCCAAATAGCTCTTCCCCAGTAACCAGTATTTGTTTAGTGGTGGTAGCGGCCAATCCAAGGACAAAGGGTGGAATATTTTGTACCTTGGGGAAGTTTTGACCTAAACTGGTAAAGAGAAGCTTAGGAGGTTTTTCATGCAGGTCCCCACATCTGTACCCTAGCGTTCAGAGTGGGGAAGGAACCTTGACAGATCCAAAACAAATATTGAGATGCACAATGATCAAAATAAAATCAACATAAGAATAATGCATTGTGCTGAAACCTTAACCATAACAAAGGCAGAAGAAGAAACTATATTAAACAAACCCTGGTCAAAATTTTCTATTTGATATGAATGCTTATGCTATATTAATATTACACACATTTCAGTAGGCAGATGAATTTAAAACCATTGATCCAAGAACAATATTCATCTTAATATAGACATACTATCAAACTCAGAAGGGAGTGAGTACTTGGAATAAATAACTTGGAATAAATAACCGTCCCCAAAACTAGGAAGCAATACCTTAAATGGATACCTACTGATGTTAGCCCACTGCCGCTCCATTAACCACCCCTCCAATCCCCATTTGAAAGATTGTTCCGGCTTCTGGCAGGAATAATTCGCACAGGCTTGGAGGTTCAGGGAAAGTTTTGTATGTACAGATATGTGCAGTAAGCACCAAATCCTGAAGCCACTTTCTGGTCCCAGTAGTTAAGCCAGTTATTGTGCATTGAATGTAGGGTTGGAGAGACGGAATCACAGAAATGTAGGGCTGGAAGGGACCTAGAAAAGTCATCAAGGCCAGCCCCTTGTGCTAGGGCAGAACCAGGTAAACCTAGAGCATCCCTGACAGGTGTTTGTCCAAAAAGGTTCTTAAAAACCTTCAATGATGGGGATTCCACAGCCTCTCTAGGAAGCCTATTCCAGAACTTAAGTATCCTTATAGTTGGAAAGTTTTTTTCTAATATCTAACCTAAATCTCCCTTATTACACATAAGCCTATTACTTCTTGTCCGACCTTCAGTGGACATGAAGAACAATTGATCATTGTCCTCTTTTTATAGCAGCCCTTAACATAAAATTAAAGACTGTTATCAGTCTTCTTTTCTCAAGACTAAACATACACAGGTTTTTTAACCTTTCCTCATAGCTCAGGTTTTCTAAACGTTTTATCATTTTTGTTGCTTCCTCTGGACTCTCTCCAATTTAGTCACATTTCTCCTAAAGTGTGGTGCCCAGAATTGGACCCAGTATTCCAGAGGAGGCGTCATCAATGCCGAGTAGAGAAGGACAGTTACCTCCTGTGTCTTACACATGACACTCCTGTTAATACACTCCAGAAAGTTACTACCCTTTTTTGCAACTGCATCACATTGCATCACATCATTCAATTTGTGATAGCCCCCAGATCCTTTTCAGCAGTACTGCCACCCTAGTTATTTTGTAGTTGTCCTTTGACTTTTCCTTCCTAAGGGAAGTACTTGGCACTTGTCTTTACTGAATTTCATCTTGTTGATTTCAGACCAATTCTCCAATTTGTCAAGGTGATTTTGTCCTTCCAAGGTGCTTGTATTACTTCCTACGTCCTAGATTCATCAAAGCATTTAGGTACATGTTTAATTTTAAGCACAAGAGTAATCCCATCTCCATTCATCAAAGCACTTGAGCACATACTTAAAGGTTTAGGTAATTTATTAGTTATTATTTGTATTGTGATAGTGCCTGAGAGCCCCAGGACCCCATCTTGTTAGCAGCTGTACAAACACAGATAAAGACAGCCTTTACCCCAAAGAGCTTACGATCTAGCCATGGGCTTCAGTCACATTTACTTCAATGCATGTTTAAGTGCTTTGATGAATAAGCATGGACGTAAGCATGTCCTTAAAGCGAAGCACATGCTGAAGTGCTTTGCTGAATCAAGACCTCTGCATCTTCACAGAAAAGGAAAAAAAAAAATCCCAAACTATTTTTACATATCACTCTGATTCCCTCTTAAAATATATTACATTAAGCCACACTTTAAATATGTGTCTGGTATCTTATCTGAGCAGTGTATTTTTAAAAATACTTATTAAAAGACAAACTTCCCCCTAAACTATATAGGAAACTCTCTTTAATGAAATCACCTATACCTTATGAGAGGTTTAAAAATGTTCCACAGAATTTTTATGAAGTTGGTTGGATGTACAACATAGAGTGCTTTAAGATTTTTCTTATACCTGTGAAAAGAAAATTAAATTGTTAGAAGACTTTTAATATCATATGCTGCAGCATAAAGTAGAGGCAATTGAATGAAAAGGTTTTATTACTGGAACATTAAATATATTCCTTTCAAGTACACTACAAAAAAATCTAATTCAGAGGAAATTGAATGTAAAATGAAAAAAGGAGCTGGTCAGTCCTGATGGCACAAAAGTAGGCCAAGATTACACTATTTCGTTGCTAACCAATGTCTGGGTTGTTTTGTGGATTTAATAATGGTGGTGGTGGGAAGCATCTCTGTAAATGATAAAAAGAGCTTCTTGAAAGTTCCAGTGAAAGAAATAAGTATTTTACTTCATTTTCCATTCTTTTCTATCATTGAGTTTCATACTGGGGAAAATGTTTATTCTTTCAGAATTAAAACCTACATCCATTAATTTATTTCTCTTGCTATGTTTGCTTTGGTTTGCTAGTAATCACTGAAGATATTTGGGGCAGAACACCAGCTAGCGTAAACTGATATAGCTCATCTGAAGCCAATGGCACTATGTTGAAGTACATCAGCAGAGTCCCGGCTCCAATGTGTTTAAAACAAAATCTCTCTTTCCCCCATAATCCTGATTGATCCTGCAGTGACGTATCTGATGTCATAAATACAGGATCATAGTAGGGACAAGCATTAGGCTGGAAATTAGGCTGCATGAAGGAATAAGATCTTATATCAAAGGAGATACAGACAATGAGTGGCCAAGTACATTGGTTTGTATATAAATTGCTGCTTTTCTCTTCTAAATTTTCCCCAATAGGGAAGGTCCCTCTTGAATGCTGACCATTAAAGGATCACATTCCACCGATCAAGAATTGCAAAAACCACTTTTGCACAACAGCTTATATATTTAGAGGTGGGTAGGAGCAACCAAGCACTTAACGCAGTTTCTTCTTTTTTATTTTAATTGCACCCAAGTGGTTTTGAGTGGGGAAAGAAAACCAGTATTGTTTTTATAAGGCCAGAATCAAACAAAGTTTGGAACTGTGCACCTGGGAACACTTTGAATAATAAAAAGCAGTTGTTTTATTGAGATGAAGTTCATATTTTGAGTCTATTTTATACTTGGAGGTAACAGGTGGACCCATTTCTTTTGTGCAAAGTTACATATTTATATTCTTCTTCTTCACCTATGTAGCACAATTACATCCCCCAAAGACTTCTTTGAACCGCTGTTGTAAATAACTTATCTGAAATTTTTCCTTTAAAACCCATTTATGTTGACTATTTTTATTTGTTACACTCGCCAATTGGGGGAGAGAGGAGTACAGGGACAAAATGCAGTGCAAAAAGTGCACAGGGTATTTGTTTAGTTTTTCCTTTAGCTAGCACAACTGAACATGAATATTGGGCTGTGAATATTGCTGTGAGCTTCCCAATGTCAATGTGCTAAGAATTCCAACCGTGATTCAAATAATGGGTGTAAGGTTGCCTGCTTTTGCCCAATTACCCCCTCTCATCTGGTTCCCTTCTGCTCTCTAAGTTTCTGGCTGGGTAGGAGAATGGAGAGAATGCGGTTGGGCAGAAATGAAGGCCACATTGTGTGAATAAGATGCGCACACTTCAGAAGCCAATACAACTGAAGATATTTCCCCTCTGTTGCTTCTCCTCCATATGGAGGCTGTAAATTTGGCATGGCTTTGTGCCAAGACAGTGTGTGACAGGACAGGCTTGCAATTTCACATGGTCATTCCTTTCCAGGGAGAGACCCTTGCACAGCAAAGATCCACAGTGAACATAACAGAAGTCCCTCTCCAGTCTCAGAACCAAATGACTATCTTGCACTCACCATTTTGAGAATCTACCAGCAAAAGCAAACTCCCTCAGTCTACCACTGAGCTGAGAGTGATATCTCATGACAGCAGTTGGACGTTTCAGATGACAACATCGCTCTCCATATTTGATGGCTGCTAGGCAAAATTTTACTTTTTTGTGGTGAGTATTAGTTTCAGTTTTTAGTGTATGAAATTCAAAAGGGTGGTAGGTTGCGTGTTGATCTCAGCCTCTCGAATTTGCAAAATTGGGCTGCAACACTCATGAGAACAGGATCTGCCATGAGATGTCTGGTAACTTTTCTCTTTGGTCAGGTTACAATTACCACCAGAATAGTCATCTTTCTTGTGGTTATTTTGGTAGATCTGTTTCTAATCCCTTCCAGAATCATAAAGCTCAGAGGTGTGTGAAAAATGTAAAACAGTGCTGCTTCTGACAGTGGGAGTAAGGGGAAAAGGGAGGCATTTGCGTGTGTTTGTTTTCTCTCACTTCGCCCTCTAGTTGTTTGCCCAGAGCAGAGAGATTGTAAAAGATGAACTGCTGCCAGTTGGGGCACTTTTAGCTCCACTGCTAGAAGCCTGTGTTTTTGGAACAGGGATTCTGTCCTGGCTCCCAGGTCTGCAATACAATTTATCTAACAATTGTAGACTGCATAGTAAAACAGAAAGCGAAGGAACTATGCCCGTGTTATGAAGGAGGTCAGAACAGATCATCATCATGGTCCCTTCTGACCTTAAAATCTATGTAGTGAAATACATTCTGGCCTAGAATTTCAGAAGCTGGCTTCTATTTTTCCTATCCCCAGCTTAGTCTAAGGAACTATGTAAGGTATGAGCTGCTAGATCACAACTGTGAGAAAATCACAAATAACCAATGTCGATGCATTGCAAACATCTTTTTAAATATACCACAGAATGGCTGGGCCTCCTCATTATGGGTCTGCAGGATTTTTACACCCTGGATAATGTTTCCAATACCTAGAATGTTCATTGTTAATCATTTCTTCATGGTAGAAATTTCTAATCTAATCTACAGTAATGGAAATTAACTCTTTGATCTCAATAGCAAAGAAAGACTAACAGGTAGACCTCTAGCTTGTTGGGTCTTCGTGAAGAATATGCCTCCTTCTTGGAAGTTAAACAGGATGCGATAGTTGGATCCTACCCACAGAAAGGGCAGACACAGAACATTTGAAGAACATACTTCCTGTCAAATTCTTTGTAGGCACTTTGCAGCCAGTTCAGAGAAGGTTTATTCCGACTGTTCAGGCCATAGTGAAAGTAGACCAGGGTATAATCATTCTCCACATACTGGTCGAGTGTATACCTCAAGTATCTGAGAAGAGAGGCAATATTTTAGTATTAAAAAGTGATTTCTAATGTATTTTTATGGATTTATAAACTGAAAAGTGTCCAAAGAACCAAAATCACTATTTTTGCCCAGCACGCCAAAGTTTGTAAATTAATGTTCATGATCAATATTAATACACTCATTCATTATGTATCATGATGCCAGTGATTTCATGTTCAGGGGGAAAATGTTCCACATTAAAAGAACGTGCCTAGTCAAGAGGTACAAAGATTGCAGTGCTGACAGGCAATCAAATGATGAAAAAACCTGGGCATGCTTTCTGGAAATAATGAAAAAGCTTTGTGTTCTCATCTTTCTGAATTCCTATGTTCTGAATAAATAATGGCATTAACACTTGTCAAAAAACGGTGAAAAGTGAAATTTTGTGAAATATTTTTTGTCAATATCAAATGTTTTGAAAATTTTTAACCAGCTCTAATTACTGTGGCTGGCATCAGATACTTCTCTCTTCCTTAAGTTAGTCTGGCTTTCTTTTGTAGGGATTTCATCATCAGATCCCTATGTGTTAAGATAATTTAAGGAAATGCACTTAAGTAATCCCATCTTGAAATAATATTGCATGTTTTTATAAGTAGGTTTCTTTGTATTGATTCTTTTATGGTATAGTTTAAGGTACTTTTCTTTTTCCTTTGTTGTACAATTGAGAATAGGACAAGGCGTTTTTTTCCCCACAGCTGAATTATTCAAACAAGGCAACAATGCCACTTGAGTAGTAACCATCTCGACTCACCTGTCTCTGAACCAGATTTTAATTTACCCGTGTTATTACATTATCAATTCTTGCTTATTATTCTGTGCATAGTCTTAACAACGTTTCTTAATTGCTCTTTTCACTTAACAAAATGTGTAGTTCCATGTGGCATTCATTAGGCTAGTGGGAGTCTGCAAGTTCTGAGCTCACTGTGACTATTATCTATGCAAATACATTTAACTTTACTCTGCTCTTGTCCTCCCATCTTCTACTCCCTTGTTTATTGCTTATTTTCCATTGCTTATTTTAAAAGTCTTAGACAGTGAACTATCTGGGACAAGGACTGTCTTTGCGTTATTTGTGTGTACAGGGATCTTGATCCCTGGCTAAGGCTTTTAGGAGTTGCTTGAATGGAAATCATGACAATAATCATTCAGAAGGCGTTACAAAAAAATGGAAGTCTCTGGAAATAAAGGTACAGTATCCCCAAACATGCCCTTGTGCCCAGGCAATCTATTGAGCCTCCTGGCCTTATATAATTCCCTAGCTAAAATGCAGTACTTCTGAGAATAATGGAGCAGAGTTTAAGCTGGTGCAAATTACCACAGCTCATGGATCGATGACAATTTATGTCAGCTGAGCATCTGCCCCCTGTTTTTACACAGCCAGTTGCCATTTCCAAGCCTGCAATACTATCCCTAGAAGCATTACTTACTGGGACAGCATTTCCAAGAATGACAGTGAAAACGCTGCCATACCAAATCCATTCCAACATGGTTTCATTTGCAAAATATCTGCCATGCTGGCCCCAGTCTGAACAGTTTTTCCTCAAACCTTAACTTGCTTGGTCTGATCCTAAAAAGGAAAGATGGTCCACTGCTGGCTTGGGACTCAGAAGACCTGGGTTCAATTTCCTGCTCTACCATAAACTTTCTGTTTGACCTTGGGCAAATTATGTAGCTGCTCTGTGCCTTAGCTTCCCATCTCTAATGCTGGGATAATAGTATGGGATAATAGACAGGTCCTGGTTCTAATCCCACACTAGGTCCTCCAGATTGCAGCATTTTATCTCTGTTACCTTCCTACAACCGATCTTTAAAAAGGATGTTGTGAAAAGGAATAATCATTTACAACATCTTGAACCAAGAAAAACCAACACCATTATAAGATGAGATAATGAAATACTAAGCTTAATGAAATACTTAGCTCATTAAATGTTAGTAATTAATGTGAATCATCTAAAGATCAAAGGCAAAAAGCATTGTAGTGTAAACAATGAAACAGCATTCTTACTAAATGTTTTTTGAGAAGAGAAAATAAAATAAAAACAGCTTTTGCTGTTCCTGCAGCTGGTTAAATACCACAAAAAGTATCTGACAAATATAATATTCAATAAATACTGATACAATTTATCAAATAGTAAGTTTGAAAAGTACTAAAAATATTTTAATTTTTTATTTGTTTGTCCCTCAAAATAAGTTACAATAGAAAAACCCATAGAGAGTTGATTAATAATATAACTACAATACACAAAAAACCCTGCTGTTTCTGGTTAAGTAGCTGGGGCTTGATTTCCAAGACAGTTTCTCACCTGATTCAGAGGCTTAGTACTCCGGCTAACATGTATTAGACACTTTTTTCCATACTCGACCAAAAAAAGCCCATTCACCTACAAATGAACTCATGAGACATGCCATTTAAAATTTTAAGCAGTGTAAACTGCAGAGAGAGAGAGAAGGTGAAATGAGAGAAACTTACTCTAGGAGTCTGCTGTGATTGAGCTGATGGGAAGGGGGCATACGACAGCAACTGAAAGTAATCACCCTCCTCCCAGAATTGTCATCACCTGGTAAACAAACACAGTTAATGGAGACCTTTATATAGCTCATTTCATATGCAGAAGGATGTTGAAACAAGATGCGGATATGAAGCAAAACCCTGGATCTGAACACCTACAAACTCTGAAAAAGACGTGAACTTTGTAAGTCCCATCTCCATTCCAGATATATTGCGAACTTTGCCATCAATTGACAAATTATACACAGGAATTCCTTTACTCACTACTGGAGTGATTTGAAGAAGTTGTTCAGCAGCGTACATAGGATGTTGGGGACAGAAGCAAAGAATGCCATATTCAAATGAAGGTGAGAGCACTGAGTTCCTTTCAGGAGGCATTCAACCCCCTGCAGAATTAAGTCCAGGAAAATTAAGGGCCTACATTTCAGACTGGCTTAACTTGGCTTCCCTTTCCCCATCCACCTGGGGGCAAGACTGTTTAAACATTTTATGCCTATCTTTTGCCATTTATAATGGCTGTAACTTTTATATTTGTACTACTAAGGGGAAAGATAACTAGTAGGTCATTCACTTGCTACCCGGGGACTTGGGAGTCCTTGGTTCAATTTCCTGCTTTACAATAGATTTCCTGTGTGACCATAGGTAAATCACTTAGGGTATGTCCACACTGAATAGTAAACCTGAGTCTGTGGAACCCACACCTGCAGATTGGTGTTTCCAAGTTCGTGCTTGAGTGTCCACGCTGCAGAATAACCCCAGGCCTCCCAACTGTACTGATGTGTCCAAACTGCACTGCACAGACTCGAATCAGACCTTCTGCTTCTGGAAGTGTATCCCAGGGTTCCTTGCCAGCTGCACCTGCTCTCGGGCTTGGTTTGTAGTGGATTGTGGGAGAACTTGTCTATCCATCCCACGTGCCTTGACCAGAAATGGTTTGAGCCCACCAATACATCCAGCCAAGCCATTTTGCGTCCTCACGCTCCCATCATCCCGATCCAGTGGAGGAACTTCTCCAGATCACGCTGTCAGTCCTATTTTGGGACTCAGGCAGAGCATCTGTGATATGCTGGTGGACATTTTGTCAATTGTTTTTGACCTGCCAAACACACTGTGATGGGTTCGGTCACAGAGACCCCCTTGGGACTGTCACCTGACATGCAGAAACTACCTCTGAGCCTGTTTTCCCTGTCAGCTTGGGACTCCAGAACCCTGTCTTGTTGAGCCAGACATGCAAGCCTGCTGCAGCACAGACCCAGGGTCTGAACCACGTCCCCAAAGCTGCAGACTTTAACTGAAAACTTCTCAGCAGGTACTCCTGTCTCCAGCACCCAAACACCCAACTCCCAATGCGATCCAAACCCCAAATAAATCTGTTTTACTCTGTATAAAGCTCATACAGGGTAAAGTCATAAATTTTCCACCCTCTGTAACACTGATGGAGAAATATACACAGCTGTTTGCTTTCCCAGGTATTAATCACTTACTCTGGGCTCAATAATAAACAAAAGTGATTTTATTAAGAATAAAAAGTAGGATTTAAGTGGTCCCAAGTAATAACAGACAGAACAAAGTAAGTTACCAAGCAAAATAAAACAAAACACGCAAGTCTAAGCCTACTACATTAAGAAAAAAGAAAAGGAGTACTTGTGGCACCTTAGAGACTAACCAATTTATTTGAGCATGAGCTTTCGTGAGCTACAGCTCACTTCATCGGATGCATACCGTGGAAACTGCAGCAGACTTTATATACATACAGAGATCATTGTAGGGAGAGTGGTCACTTTGGATGAGCTATTACCAGCAGGAGAGTGAGTTTGTGTGTGTGTTTTTTTGGAGGGGGGTGAGGGGATGAGAGAACCTGGATTTGTGCAGGAAATGGCCCACCTTGATTATCATGCACATTGTGTAGAGAGTTGTCACTTTGGATGGGCTATTACCAGCAGGAGAGTGAGTTTGTGTGTGGGGGGGTGGAGGGTGAGAAAACCTGGATTTGTGCTGGAAATGGCCCAACTTGATGATCACTTTAGATAAGCTATTACCAGCAGGACAGTGGGGTGGGAGGAGGTATTGTTTTATGATCTCTGTATGTATATAAAGTCTGCTGCAGTTTCCACGGTATGCATCCGATGAAGTGAGCTGTAGCTCACGAAAGCTCATGCTCAAATAAATTGGTTAGTCTCTAAGGTGCCACAAGTACTCCTTTTCTTTTTGCGAATACAGACTAACACGGCTGTTACTCTGAAACCTACATTAAGAAACTGAATATAGGTAAATCTCACCCTCAGAGATGTTCCAATAAGCTTCTTTCACAGACTAGACGCCTTCTTAGTCTGGGCCCAATCCTGTCTCCGGTACAGTTCTTGTTAGTCCCAGCTCAGGAGGTAACTAGGGGATTTCTCATGACTGCAGCCCCCTCTGTTCTGTTCCACCCCCTTTTATAGCTTTGGCAGAAGGCGGGAATCCTTTGTCTCTCTCTGGATTCCCACCCTTCCTTCTAAACGGAAAAGCACCAGGTTTAAGATGGATTCCAGTACCAGGTGACATGATCACATGTCACTGTAAGACCTCATTCTCCATTCTTTCAGGGTTGGCCTGCGCATACCCAGGAAGGTTTGCGAATAAACAGAGCCATTTACAACCAATTGTCCTAGTTAATGGGAGCCATCAAGATTTCAAGCCATTATTAACGGCTCACACTTTGCATAGTTACAATAGGACTTTAGAGTAATACTTCGTCTTTCTAGCTTCAGATAAAATAATGATACATACATGCAAATAGGATGAACACATGCAGTAGATTATAAGCTTTGTAATGATACCTTACAAGAGACCTTTTGCATGAAGCATATTCCAGTTACATTATATTCACACTCATTAGCATATTTCCATAAAACATATGGAGTGCAATGTCACACACACCTCTTGGAGGGGGACACTAACATGCCAGCTGATGCTGCTCAGACCTGTTGCCACAGCTGCAGATTCCCCCCAAACCAGCGCTTCTGGAGCAGGGCCACAAGTGCAGACCATGAGACTGGATCATCATGTGGACCTGGGGTGAACAGCAGGGGCTCCAGAACTTTCACATGAAAAAGCAGGTATTCCTGAGGGGGTTGTGAACAACATGCTCTAACCCTCTCCAGTGCCACAACACACACAAGGATCAATGTGGTGGTCCAGAAGCAGGTCACCATACCCATCTGGAAGCTGGCTACCCCAGACGAGTACAGGTCTGTTGCGAACCAGTTTGGAGTTGGCAAGTCAACTGTGGGGGTTGTTGCAGTGAAGGTTCATGAGGTGATCAGAACTGGGATGTGCACAAAGGTGGTGGGCATTAAAAGTGTGCCCGAAATAACTGCTGACTTTGAGAGGACCTGCTTTCCAAACTGCACTAGGGCTATCAGTGGGACTCATGTGCCCGTAGTTAGCCCTCTGTAAGGAGCTCAAGTACGTAAACCGCAAAAGACACTACTCCATCATTATGCAGGCCCTGGTCAACCACAGAGGCAGATCACCAGCCACAATGGATGAAAATTTGTGGTAAAAATTAACAAGATGCTGATTTAGCATGGAGATGCACCCTAAGCCCATGCACAGACATGGCTAACTGCCAGCCATTGGGACACCTAACACAGACAGGCAGCCACCCTCCTCTGTAATTTGGACTCAGATTTCAGCTACCCTTGGACCAAATACAGACCCTGATTTTGTTTGGACTCATCACAGACATTTTTTTTTTTTTGACTCAGTGTACAGGCAGTCTGGGACAGTGCAAGTGTGTCTGATTTATAAGGTACTATACCTTGAGGGAGCATCTTGTAATCCCCATATTCCTCATCTGTATATAATTGTGATATTGCATATAAAGCGTGCCATGTGAGGTATCAGGGAAAAGGTTATGTTCAGTTGAAAGTCACTGTTCTATCTGAATATCTATATCTTTAGTGCGTATGAAGTTATGAGATTGTGTTGTAGGTTGTCACTAAAACACGCTGTAAATTGGGGAATCAGTCACATATTAGCTCTCAAGAGACAACAGCAAGGAAAGTAACCAACACCTGTGTGGGGTGTCAAACAACCATCAACAGCCATTGTCTAGCAAGGGAGCTACAATTCAATGACTCACCTGCATAAGGCTACACCAGGTGAATTGCTCAACCTTGCCTGGGGACTCAGCAATGCCCCCCAGACACGTCTGGACTTGTGTTCTCCAAGCACATGGACTAAAACAGAACACAGGGACCCCATGCTTGGTCTTTCTCCTTCCCCCACCTATGCTGCAAACAACAAAGACACTCAGAAGACTGAAGACTCCAACAGAGGGGACTGGCCCAGGTTTATGGGACAAACCCGTATACTAAAGACTGCAGTGGGGTGAGAAAAACTGCTTAATCTAGATGTTGCCCAGTCTAATAGGGCTGAAAGTTTAGACTGCATGCTTATATTTTATTTTGGTAACTAACTCTGACTTTTTGCCTGTCACTTATAATCACACAAAATCTAACTTTTGTAGTCAATAAATTTGTTTTACTGTTTATCTTTACCAATGAGTGTGCCTGAAGTGTGTGGTAAATCTGCTCCGATTTCCAAAGGCTGGTGTATATCCACTTTCCATTGATGAAGTGATGAACCAATTAATAAATTTGCACTGCTCATTTTGAGCACTGCAAGATGGTATATTCCTGAGGTACGAGGCTGGGAGGTGGGGGGATTTGGCTGGTGCCTTTCTCTGTGTGATTCATGAGTGGCTCTGGGAACATTTATGCAATCTAGCTTGGTGTGGGGCTCCACATGCTGTTGTGCTGAGTGATAACAGTGCCTGGAGGGGTTTTCTGCTTGTCTCTAGCAAAGCAATGTGAGACACAGCCCAGGCTGGAGAGTTAAGGGGGCACAAAGTCCCACAGTCCCTGGCTGCACCTCAGGATCCCATCACAGGTATGTAAAGCCTTGTCTACACTACACAGTTTTGTCGACAAAACAGCAGAAGTATACACACTGATATTTGCCTACACTGAAATGCTCTTCCTGCCGATGTAACTCCCCTGCTATGCTGACATAATAAAACCACCTCAACAAGAGGCATAGGGCTTATGCTGGTGTAGTTAGGGCAATGCTCAGGCACTTCCTCTGTTACTGGTTCTGCTGTGGACTGCTCCACAGGGCTGTCTCCAAACAGTAACTGGGTGTGAATTTTTGGGATGGAACGGCTGAGAAACACAGGCTGGGGGTTTGTGGGAGAGTGCTGGCAGACTCTCCAGACCCATATCTGGCAACCCAAACTTGAGCTGCATCTACAGTGCAAAATCCTTGGACTGGGACCCGCATCACAGTCGAGCTAGGCCTTGGACCCAGACCTCTGGCTGAGTCTATAGGCCCAAATCCTGAGATCTTTCAGGCCTGATTGATGTGTGTGTGGATGGTAGGTGTCAGACCTGCATCAGAGTCCAGATTTACCATAAGAGTCAGATTCTTAAGATGCAGATAGGCACCTAGTGGGGGACTTTCAAAAGGGAGTTAGGTGCCTAGGTGCTACCTGCATATTTAGGTACCTAAATATGCCTTTAAAAATGTGGCCCTTAGTCTCTCTGTGCCTCAGTTCCCCATCTGTAAAATGAAGGTAATAGCACAGCCCTATCTCACAAGGGGGTTGGAAGGATAAATATAATAAAGCCTGTGAGATGCTCAGATACTGTGGTAATAGGGGGCTATATAGCTACAATGGGAAGACAGGTTTCAAAGTAACAGCCGTGTTAGTCTGTATTTGCAAAAAGAAAAGGAGTACTTGTGGCACCTTAGAGACTAACCAATTTATTTGAGCATAAGCTTTCGTGAGCTACAGCTCACATTTCTCTTAAATTGATTGGGATGCTCTGCATTATTTTAATGGGCCTAATTCACATATGACCCTGCCTAAACTCAAGCTTCAAAGTAAATTAAACTTAGGTACTGCTCCTATTCCCACTGAGCCCTGGTCTACACTAGGACTTTAGGTCGAATTTAGCAGCGTTAAATCGATTTAAACCTGCACCCGTCCACACAATGAAGCCCTTTATTTCGACTTAAAGGGCTCTTAAAATCGATTTCCTTACTCCACCCCTGACAAGTGGATTAGCGCTTAAATCGACGTTGCCGGCTCGAATTTGGGGTACTGTGGACACAATTCGATGGTATTGGCCTCCGGGAGCTATCCCAGAGTGCTCCATTCTGACCGCTCTGGACAGCGCTCTCAACTCAGATGCACTGCCCAGGTAGACAGGAAAAGAACCGCGAACTTTTGAATCTCATTTCCTGTTTGGCCAGCGTGGCAAGCTGCAGGTGACCATGCAGAGCTCATCAGCACAGGTGACCATGATGGAGTCCCAGAATCGCAAAAGAGCTCCAGCATGGACCGAACGGGAGGTACGGGATCTGATCGCTGTTTGGGGAGAGGAATCCGTGCTATCAGAACTCCGTTCCAGTTTTCGAAATGCCAAAACCTTTGTCAAAATCTCCCAGGGCATGAAGGACAGAGGCCATAACAGGGACCTGAAGCAGTGCCGCGTGAAACTGAAGGAGCTGAGGCAAGCCTACCAGAAAACCAGAGAGGCGAACAGCCGCTCTGGGTCAGAGCCCCAAACATGCCGCTTCTATGATGAGCTGCATGACATTTTAGGGGGTTCAGCCACCACTACCCCAGCCGTGTTGTTTGACTCCTTCAATGGAGATGGAGGCAATACGGAAGTAGGTTTTGGGGACGAAGAAGATGATGATGATGAGGAGGTTGTAGATAGCTCACAGCAAGCAAGTGGAGAAACCGGTTTTCCCGACAGCCAGGAACTGTTTCTCACCCTAGACCTGGAGCCAGTACCCCCCGAACCCACCCAAGGCTGCCTCCTGGACCCAGCAGGCGGAGAAGGGACCTCTGGTGAGTGTACCTTTTAAAATGCTATACATGGTTTAAAAGCAAGCATGTGAAAGGATTACTTTGCCCTGGCATTTGCGCTTCTCCTAGATGTAGTCCTAAAGCCTTTGCAAAAGGTTTCTGGGGAGGGCAGCCTTATTTCGTCCTTCATGGTAGGACACTTCACCACTCCAGGCCAGTAACACGTACTCGGGAATCACTGCAGAACAAAGCATTGCAGTGTATGTTTGCTGGCATTCAACCAAAATCCGTTCTTTATCTCTCTGTGTTATCCTCAGGAGAGTGAGATATCATTCATGGTCACCTGGTTGAAATAGAGTGCTTTTCTTCAGGGGACACTCAGAGGAGCCCATTCCTGCTGGGCTGTTTGCCTGTGGCTAAACAGAAATGTTCCCCGCTGTTAGCCACAGGGAGGGGAGAAGGTTGAGGGGGTAGCCACGTGGTGGGGGGAGGCAAAATGCGACCTTGTAACGAAAGCACATGTGCTATGTATGTAATGTTAACAGCAAGGTTTACCCTGAAAGAGTGTAGCCACTGTTTTATAAAATGTGTCTTTTTAAATACCGCTGTCCCTTTTTTTTTCTCCACCAGCTGCATGTGTTTCAATGATCACAGGATCTTCTCCTTCCCAGAGGTTAGTGAAGCTTAGAAAGAAAAAAAAACGCACTCGCGATGAAATGTTCTCCGAGCTCATGCTGTCCTCCCACACTGACAGAGCACAGACGAATGCATGGAGGCAAATAATGTCAGAGTGCAGGAAAGCACAAAATGACCGGGAGGAGAGGTGGAGGGCTGAAGAGAGTAAGTGGCGGGCTGAAGAGAGTAAGTTGCGGGCTGAAGACAGGGCTGAAGCTCAAATGTGGTGGCAGCGTGATGAGAGGAGGCAGGATTCAATGCTGAGGCTGCTGCAGGACCAAACCAGTATGCTCCAGTGTATGGTTGAGCTGCAGCAAAGGCAGCTGGAGCACAGACTGCCACTGCTGCCCCTCTGTAACCAACCGCCCTCCTCCCCAAGTTCCATAGTCTCCACACCCAGACGCCCAAGAACGCGGTGGGGGGGCCTCCGGCCAACCAGCCACTCCACCACAGAGGATTGCCCAAAAAAAAAGAAGGCTGTCATTCAATAAATTTTAAAGTTGTAAACTTTTAAAGTGCTGTGCTTAAAGTGCTGTGTGGCATTTTCCTTCCCTCCTCCACCACCCCTCCTGGGCTACCTTGGTAGTCATCCCCCTATTTGTGTGATGAATGAATAACGAATGCATGACTGTGAAGCAGAAATGACTTTATTGCCTCTGCAAGCAATGATTAAAGGGAGGAGGGGAGGGTGGTTAGCTTACAGGGAAGTAGAGTGAACCAAGGGGCGGGGGGTTTCATCAAGGAGAAACAAACAGAACTTTCACACCGTAGCCTGGCCAGTCATGAAACTGGTTTTCAAAGCTTCTCTGATGCGTACCGCGCCCTCCTGTGCTCTTCTAACAGCCCTGGTGTCTGGCTGCGCGTAACCAGCAGCTAGGCGATTTGCCTCAACCTCCCACTCCGCCATAAACGTCTCCCCCTTACTCTCACAGATATTGTGGAGCACACAGCAAGCAGTAATAACAGTGGGAATATTGGTTTCGCTGAGGTCTAAGCGAGTCAGTAAACTGCGCCAGCGCGCCTTTAAACGTCCAAATGCACATTCTACCACCATTCTGCACTTGCTCAGCCTGTAGTTGAACAGCTCCTGACTACTGTCCAGGCTGCCTGTGTACGGCTTCATGAGCCATGGCATTAAGGGGTAGGCTGGGTCCCCAAGGATACATATAGGCATTTCAACATCCCCAACAGTTATTTTCTGGTCTGGGAATAAAGTCCCTTCCTGCAGCTTTTGAAACAGACCAGAGTTCCTGAAGATGCGAGCATCATGCACCTTTCCCGGCCATCCCACGTTGATGTTGGTGAAACGTCCCTTGTGATCCACCAGAGCTTGCAGCACTATCGAAAAGTACCCCTTGCGGTTTATGTACTCGGCAGCTTGGTGCTCCGGTGCCAAGATAGGGATATGGGTTCCATCTATAGCCCCACCACAGTTAGGGAATCCCATTGCAGCAAAGCCATCCACTATGACCTGCACATTTCCCAGGGTCACTACCCTTGATATCAGCAGATCTTTGATTGCGTGGGCTACTTGCATCACAGCAGCCCCCACAGTAGATTTGCCCACTCCAAATTGATTCCCAACTGACCGGTAGCTGTCTGGCGTTGCAAGCTTCCACAGGGCTATCGCCACTCGCTTCTCAACTGTGAGGGCTGCTCTCATCTTGGTATTCATGCGCTTCAGGGCAGGGGAAAGCAAGTCACAAAGTTCCATGAAAGTGCCCCTACGCATGCGAAAGTTTCGCAGCCACTGGGAATCGTCCCAGACCTGCAACACTATGCGGTCCCACCAGTCTGTGCTTGTTTCCCGAGCCCAGAATCGGCGTTCCACAGCATGAACCTGCCCCATTAGCACCATGATGCATGCATTGTCAGGGCCCATGCTTTCAGAGAAATCTGTGTCCATGTCCTGATCACTCACGGGACCGCGCTGACGTCGCCTCCTTGCCCGGTATCGCGTTGCCATGTTCTGGTGCTGCATATACTGCTGGATAATGCGTGTGGTGGTTAATGTGCTCCTAATTGCCAAAGTGAGCTGAGCGGCCTCCATGCTTGCCTTGGTATGGCGTCCGCACAGAAAAAAGGCGCGGAACGATTGTCTGCCGTTGCTCTGACGGAGGGAGGGGCGACTGACGACACGGCTTACAGGGTTGGCTTCAGGGAGCTAAAATCAACAAAGGGGGTGCCTGTACATCAAGGAGTATTTCAGGCAGGACTGCACGGAGGGTTCCAATAAGAAATGGTGCACCTAAGTTATCGTTGTTATTGGAACAAGGAGGTTACCCTGGCCTCTGATTGATACATGGCTAGATTTACCTCGCTGCACCTTCTCTGTGAGTGACTGCAGTGTGACCTAGAGGAATGAGTCCCCTAGACAGGGGAGGAGGCAAATGAGTACAAAACAAATCTGGTCTATTTCTTGTTTTGACCCACTCCATCTATCTTTTACATCTTTGGCTGGCAGCAGACGGTGCAGAAGGACTGCATGCCATCCACATCTCATGGCTGCTCGGCAGAAGATGGTACAGTACGACTGCTAGCCATCCCCATCTCTTGCCTGCATGGCAGAAGATGGTGCAATATGACTGCTAGCAATCCTCATCTCTTGCCTGCCTGGCAGAAGATGGTACAGTACGACTGCTAGCAGTCCGTATCGCCTGCCCGCTCACCATAAGACGGTTCAATTGGACTGACTGCAGGACTAAAGAGAATGACCTGGTCAAGTCACTCCAAATTTAGTCCCTGCGCCCATGTCTGCCCAGGCGCTCCCAGCCGACGTGGCCAGGAGCACCTCGGACACGACGAGGACGACTACCAATCGTATTGCACCGTCTGCTGCCGGAAGGCAATGGGTTGCTGCTACTGTGCAGCAAAGCCGTACCGCGTCTGCCAGCACCCAGGAGACATAGGGTGACGGTTACCTGAGCGGGCTCCATGCTTGCCATGGTATGGCGTCTGCACAGGTAACTCAGGAAAAAAGGCGCGAAATGATTGTCTGCCCTTGCTTTCACGGGGGGAGGGAGGGAACGGGGGGCTGACGATATGTACCCAGAACCACCCGCGACAATGTTTTAGCCCCATCAGGCATTGGGATCTCAACCCAGAATTCCAATGGGCAGCGGAGACTGCGGGAACTGTGGGATAGCTACCCACAGTGCAACGCTCCGGAAGTCGACGCTTGCCTCGGTACTGTGGAAGCGCTCCGCCGAGTTAATGCACTTAATGCACTTAGAGCATTTTCTGTGGGGACACACACACTCGAATATATAAAACCGATTTCTAAAAAACCGACTTCTATAAATTCGACCTAATTTCGTAGTGTAGACATACCCTGAAGTCTCAAGAAAGTTTGGCTTTGATGTCATGGGAGCAGAATAAATAAATGGTATTCTTCATTACCAGTTTCTTGCAAACAATCATCTGATAAATGGTTGGTAATGAGCAAGCCAAAGAAAAGGAAGAAAGAGTGAAGGGAAGGAAACAGGGGTGAAATTGGTAAACAAAATGAATTAGTAAATAAATACTTAAATCTTCTGAAAAGCTAGGACTATATAGCTTAAGACTAGTTCTTGGGCTGTTCTAACTTGTGCAACTGATGCTGGTCCAGAGCAGAAGCACTAAGCTAATGATCTTAGCAACACAGCCATACAAATTTTACATGGATAAATAATGTCGACAGTCTAGTAGGTACTAACACACTTTCAATCAACATAAGACAAGCAATTCCTTTTGTACTGAATGGTTTTGTATTGTTAAAAGAAACCCATCCTGTATTTCTTTTGTCCAATACATGGACATTTTCATAATCTACTTATGTTTGGATTTGTCTGTATATATTCTACCGTACCTCAGAGACCCGCTGCAGAAGAGTATCTTGTTTCAAAGCCTTCCCATTATGTTGGGGGAGGGGAAATAAATATTTAATGGAATTTTCATGTAAAAAAAATCCTGTTTAAAATACTAAATAGAATATTCACGTACTACTTCAGAGAGAATAAGACAATGAACAATTGGTGCATGCACTCAGGTAATCAGTAGTCTGTTTATAAAACAGGTCACTATTTTATTTCCTGGGGGGACTTGTTAAGTACCTTTCATCTGAAATGCTCAGAGCACTTACAAAGGCATTCAAATCTGACAAATGAGCATTAAAATGAATGATAAACAAACATGAAATTACAAACGTTACCGAAAGACTTTTCTTCCCTAAATCCTGACACTATTTGACCTATTTGTTCATGTCTGACAGATATGTTACTATATAGCATTCATATAATACAGGTATATAAGACAGACATGATATTGTATTAGCAGAAGTAGGTGCACTATGAGGGGTTTCTACACCTTCCTTTGGGCATCCAGTCTTAGCTACCGTTGGAAACAGGTAGAACAGTTTCTTTGTCAGAAAAAATCACCTCCATAAACAACAGAAATCTATGCCTGGTTTCCAGTTAAGGTAATAAGGTCTCTTCTTGTTACTTTTGAACTCCTGCCTGCATTGGATCACCTGCACTAAAGGCTAGAATATCCACCACCTACCTCTTATACAGAGTTTATAACCCATAGCTTTACAAAGGAAGTAGGTACTATTCTCCCAGTTTTACTGATGGGAAAACTAAGGTGAAATGACTTGCCCAGAGTTACCTAGCAGGCCTGTAGCAAAGCAGAGACTCCTTCTCTCATGAGCCCCAAACCATGAGCCCTGGTCCACCACCCACACTGCTCATCGGTAGAAGGCACAGTTACTTTACAATCAGAAAAGATGACTGGGACTCATGACTCTTGGATTCTATTCCCAGCTCTGCCCTGATTTACTGTGTGATCTTGAGTATATTACCCATTCTGTGTGTCCGTTTCTCCATTTGCATTCAGGGTATAATAATAATAATACCAACTTCACAGGAATGTTGAGACACAGAAAAACTGTTTTTTTTCATACAAGTCTAACTTGTTAATAAAATTTTGAAGAAAACCACCATCATTTAAAAATTAATGGCTGACCAAAACAAAACTGGAGCTCCACTGGTATGACTGAGACTGCTGGCCAGATGTTCTGTGTGAGAACCTTGCAGCTTGGAATTCACTACCCCATTCAGTCTGAACTATCTTGACTCAGATGACCTCACGTCCCGTGCCTCCTCCCCTCCCCCCCCACATTTGAAAACTGGGGTTTGGAGCTCCAGGGAATTGTAACTGTAAAAGTTCAAGGAGGAGTGGGGTTTGTGATAGGTTATCTTAAATTTCTGTTTTTAGGATGTATTTTTATAGTGTGTCAAGGGCACCTAGAGCATACAGATAGGCCTTTATTTTACCATGTATAGAATTTAAAATACATAAATAAAGTAAAAGTTACGCCATGGTGGCCTCATTTTCCTGCTAAATTGACAAGAAGTAAATTAGAAGAGAAGGATGCTCATTCTGTATGGAAATCAATGCAAAAAGAAGTGCAATCTGAACAATATTCCTTGATGTATCAATATATTTTGAAGTGTTTCAGGTCAGTGTGTTTTTGTTTTAACTTAACTTATTTTTCTTTATTTCATGGACTGATGGCATCCAGGAATTTCAGATGAAAATGGATAACCTGCTCAACCTTCTTTGAAAAATGGTGCTTCTTGCATCTGTTGCCATTCCCCTGTCCAGATGAGTATATTCAAGTAAAACCACTTCTGACCATCTTTCCTCCCATTTC